ATAAACTAAAATATATCTTCTAAAACATCACTAGACGCCACTACATTAAGTGAAATTTCATCAGTAGAGCAGAAAACATAACCAAACCAAATACACAACAGTAAAATGGTCGTGATGACAGCTGGTACAGTATCGGCAACAGGTGACGCGCCTACCAATATGGTTTTCATTCTCAGAACAACTCCGATATATCGGCGCTTGGGGCTCTAAGGGTTAAGTTTTACCATTTGTTTGTCTTTAACAGTTCTTTTCACATATTTCACTTTACATTAGATGATTCTCTCTTCTTGTATAGTCCATTGGCATAACTTAAAATTTATGTTTTCATCAATATCATTAACAAAAGGTAATTCATTTTCAAAGTATACAAGTGAGAGGATAATAACATAAAAATATATCAAAATATAGCCTAATTTAAGATAACTGTAAAAAAATCTATAAAATCTATTTCTACTCCATAGGCTACATTGCAATTTGATAATAGTCTTTTTATAAAATATATATTTAACTAAGTCTATCTATGTACTATTAATTCTATTGTAATTGATTACAGTATACAGTATACAGTACTATTAATTAAAGCTATTGGGATAGGGAAGCGTCTGTTCTATACTCGGTAAGCATGGTCTTCCACGTCTTTTAGCAGGTGAAAGATCAAGTTCTTTGAAGTCTTCGAATTCACTATACAAGGTGTGGCTAGAAAAAAACCGGACTGATGCAGAAAAAAAATTTATTTACAATTATTTACAATTTGATGTTATCTCCTTCAATGTACTCTCCTCCTTGGTCTCTACACCGCTCCATACGAATTTTCCACTGTTCATAGCAATGCTGCAGATCATTTTCAGTAAGTCCATACATTACTTCTGTCGCTTTTTCTTTTACTGCTTCAACACTCTCAAATCTAGTTCCTTTCAAAGCTGACTTGACTTAAGGGAAAAGAAAGAAGTCACAGGGGGCCAAATCAGGTGAGTAGGGTGGATGGCCTAAGATGGGAATGTTGTGATTGGCTAAAAACGTCTTCACTGACGACGCATTGTGAGCTGGGGCATTGTCTTGGTGCAGAATCCATGACTTTGTTTTCCACAAATCATTCCGTTTTCTCCGTACTCGCTCACGTAGGGTAGTCAGGACACTAATGTAGTAATGCTGATTCACTGTTTGTCCCTCTGGTACATAATCAATGTGCACAATCCCTTTGATATAAAAAAAAAACAATCATCATTGCCTTGAATTTCGATTTTGACATTCGTGCTTTTTTTGTCGTGGAGAAGCAGGAGATTTCCAATGCATCGATTGGCGTTTGGTTTCGGGATCGTAAGTAAAAAACCACGATTCATCACAAGTAATAACATTTTGTAAGAAGGTGGGATCACTTTCAATGTTTTCTAGGATGTCAGAACAAATCTTCGGCGTTCTTTCTGTTCAATTGTGAGACACTTTGGAACCATTTTTGAACACACTTTGTTCATGTTGAAACTTTCATGAAGAATCTGCCTAACACTTTCCTTGTCAATTCCTGTCAACTCAGACATTGCTCTGATTGTTAAACGGCAATCTTGTCGAACAAGTTTACCGATTTTTTCAATGTTTGCATCAGTTTTTGCTGACAATGGTCTGCCAGTACGAGTGTCATCACTTGTGTCTTCGCGGCCATCTTTAAATCTCCTAAACCACTCAAACACTTGTGTTCGCGATAAACAATCATCCCCGTACACTTGTTGTAACATTACAAATGTTTCACTTGCAGATTTTCCAAGTTTGAAAAGAAATTTGATGTTAACACGCTGTTCTTTTTGTACACTTAACATTTTTCCGACGCACAGACAAAACGACAACTACTTAGAACAGACGCCAGGGGCAGACTGAGTAAAGAAGGCAGATGAAACTTGAGTAGTAGGCGGGGCGAGAGTCACGTGACAGGCCACGCGACTTTCAGCCTTATTGCATTCGTTTTATTGTTGCACCGGGACTAGTCTGTGTCCCTTTCTGTATTTGCTCTTCTATAATGTGACTTATATTTGAGGAATTTTTGTATGTGCCCGATTACTTCTTTCACTCGAGAATCATCAATTTGATTTTTTCCACCACTGACGCCACGACAATCACGAACTCCTTCTGAGCGCTTCATACTTTTCAGAGCACTATTTACTTTGCAACTGGATATTCTTAAAGTCTGCAAAAAAAAAGTTTTACATACAATCATTCCACAAATTTTGTACAACCTACTACATTTCCTTTTGTTTGATGTTTTCACTCTTTTTCGTTTTATGTCTAAACTCCTGAACCATAGAGCAAATCAATGCACGCTGAGCATCATGCGAATCAACACTATAAAACTTGTCAAATTCCTTTTTGGCATTTTCCTCACTAACTCTTTCCAAACATTTACACGGGCAAATATAACGCCGGAAATCTTTGGATTCTTTGAACACATTTCTTTGTGTAAAATAATCGTTGTTTTGGATGCACAGTCTTTTTCTAGTTTCTAGGTTTTGGTTTTCATACTTAAGTTTTCTTCCTCTTTTTGGCCTTCCTTCCAGTACCGGTAATCGATTTTCACCTATTTCAGGGTTGGTGTTTTCCACATCTTCAACTGTATCAGGGTTGGTATTTTCCACATCTTCAACTGTTTCAGGGATGGTATTTTCCACATCTTCAACTGTTTCAGGGATGGTATTTTCCACAACTTCAACTGTTTCAGGGATGGTATTTTCCACATCATCACTTGAAGGCTGTTGTAGAATGTCTTCTGCTTGGTCACTGCTAGGCCTGCCACATTCATTTTCATAAAAAGTCAAATTAGAGAATGGCTCATCATTGATTTCCTTACCCACCACTACACCTGCATTCAAACCATTGCTAATGTGTGTTAAATTATTATGATAAGTACTTGTCTTAAGTGGTGTGGAGTGCAACTGCTCAGAAGGCAGTTCAATAATTTCACAGTTTTTTTCTTGATCGTCAAAGCAATAACTGTGTTCAGTATCTGTTTGATTGGTAAATAAACCTAATTCTTCTGAATTATTGGCATCAACTGTAGGGATAGACTCATCAAAAAAAGTTCTTGGCAAATCTAGTGATGTGTCATTAAACGACGATGAAAATATGTTACCTGGTGACTCCAAGTTAACAGGTACTAACTCTGTAAGATCCACATCCTTTGGGAGTAGCGGATCTGTAGGCCTACTTTTAATGTCTGAGCTTGAAGACGAACAGCTACCATTAGTTTGTATACACTCCAATATCGGTACTTGAGAAGATAGGTTGCGATTCTCTTCAGTCAGGAAACATGTATCTTCTTTCTGAAACAACAAAATTAAAGTTTCATGCAAATAGGGGTTCGGTTTCATAAGCAGTTCAAGTAACTTGCATTTAATTTTATCAATATTTTTTATTTCGATAGGCTTACTAGGCCTACCAATATGTTACAGTTGATATAACGGTTGTGATAGGTTTTCCAGCAATAACCTAACCTATAATCGCTGCAGCATATTGTGTAAGTTGGCACTCGCAAAGCAACAACATTTCACCGCTGGAGGTTGCTCTCAAACTTGTAAGCCTACTTGTAGGGAAAATGTCGGTACTTTCCTGTTAAAGGGAACATTCATTATTATCGATGATTTTTTCTCGATATATCGATATTAACAAATTGAGAAACATATCAGCTGGAGCTGACAACTACGATAAATATTGTTCAGTACAGTATCAACAAACGATAATGAAATGAAAATGTTATAAAAAAATAACCTAACATAACTAACCAAACTTGCTGTGTAACATTTAAAAACTCCGTTTTTAACAGCAAGTTTGTTTGGTTATGTTAGGTTAGCTTAGAACAGTTTCATTTCTTAATCCATATAATAGACTATTTTAGCCTAAACAAGATCAGTTGTCAATTTGTTTAACGGATCGGAAAACAAAAATATCGATATATAGCGAAAAAATCATCGATAATAATGAATGTTCCCTTTAACAGGAAAGTACCAAAATGTCAAAATAAAATATTTATAAAAATACCAAGGCTATAATTATAAAATACTTTAACCCCATTCGGTTATAATATCAATAGTATCAAAGTAAAAAAGTATTGATACATATTACTCAAACTGTTTGTGAAACAAACCCCGAAAATAGGCTTTGGCTTAGGTTAAGGTTGTAGGCTATTTTTCCTTTCAAACATTAATCCGTTACATAGGCCTAGTTTAGTCATCAAGCATTACTAACATTTCATTAAAGGTACAAGTTATAAAAGAAGTCTATTATAAGTTGTTTTAAAGAAGTTTACATACGAAAGAAACTTGTGATTTCTTACCTTTAGAGCTTGAGATTCAGTTGAAATCCTTGTTGCATTTGCAATAATTTTCTTCGTTCTTTTTTTCAAACTATCCATAATTAAATTACAGAGAACAAAATAACAAATAATGGCAACACTCTCATCACAAATATACGCTTACAACAAAACTAGGTTAGTGGTACACAACACATACAGCTGATGTAGTTTGTTTTGTTATGATTGTGAACAGATGTAAACCAGTCATGCCACCTAATGCGTTTGGCATCACAAGACCAAAGACCAGTAAAAGGCGCTTGGTCTACTGTTGCAAAACTAAATATGGGATTATGGCTTTTGGTTTTGTTATGCAAAACAGAAAATCAAACATTACTAAAGTGGCACTTAAGTTTTCCAAATATTTCATGGCAACCGTTGCTAGGACAAGGATGGTGATTTTTTTGTAGGTTAGTTGCATTGTTTCTCAATAGAATGCGCAGGAATACTGAATTAAATTGGCGCTTGGTATAGTGATGCATAACACCGTCCAATTGTGCATCAGAAACAGCTGATTTAAATATTAGATGATTGTTGAATGCTGAAATATTGCCAACAAACTGAAAGATCTTTAGGTGCTGGGAATTTCCCTCTTTGTTATGGAACACAGTGTAAGTTGTACTACGCAAACCCTTTATCAAATTATCAACCCCAACACTACATGTTGCAGGGCAGATTTCTGGAGGGAGCTTTCTGGTTCGCAGTGTTGCTAAATTTGAAGCACATTTTCATGTATGTTGCTCCAGCCTATGGGGTGTATTTGCTGCGTAACTACTGCTTCGTCTCTACGCCACAGACTCACTCAGGCAGTGGTGAACCTGTCAGATGGAGGTCCTTCTCTCCTTCACGCTTTGCCAAGCTTGCTGCCATCGTAGCAATTGTTTTTCTCATCTCTTTCGGCCCATTTATTGCCATGGGACAGCTTGGCCAGGTAATTTTTAATTCTACTTTAAATTTTTTTTTTTAACTTATTTATGTGACTTTGTAACCCTTTTAAATGTTTTTAACTACAGTAGATATATTTAGTATCAAACTTTCAAGCTTTTCTGATGCGCCATTAACCCTAGCAGTGGCCAATGTTAGAAGTGGGGAATGGCCAACCCATTTTGGCGATTTTGCAGACCTTTTTTTGAAAATTCGTAAAAATTCAACCGTACAAGTAAACCTAGCCAACCTCATATTCATTTTGTTCGGAAAGAACAGGAGAATCTAGAAATAGTAATATCATAATGATTTAGACAGTGTATTTTATCGATAAAGTGAAAAAAATAAAAAAATTTGAATTTTTTTTTTTGAAATTTCAAAAGCGGCCTTGGTATTTTTTTTCTACGGATTTCTTTATGGGAAATTCATTATATACATTTTGTAGAAAATCTAATTCCCTACATAGAAATATATAACATGTTAGGAAAATATTTTTTTTTTATAAGTTTTTGGGGCGAAATATAATGACAAACGGAGAACCGAAAAAATTGAGAACCGTACAGTGTTAGTTTATGTTGTAAAAAGTTCTATAATACATGTGTATACTAATAATGATATATACATGTTTGTAAAGCTAATGAAGTAAGGAATCAAAAAAAGTCATAAAGTTTATGGTAAAAATAATTTTTTACCTATAAACATACGTATATAAAATAATGTTTATATATTTTAGCGATTTCTCGAAAAACAAAATTCACAGTACTTAGTATACAACTTTTGTACCAAATTTTTTTACTTCAAACCAACATAATAATCTTGTAGTGTATTCAATTACCAACATAAAAATGTATAACATGTTAGAAATATTTTTTTTGTAGGTACGTAATAGGGACATAATAATACAATAACCGCAAAACCGCAAATAAGTGTAAACTATAGCCTACAGTGTTTGCTTGTGTTGTGAAACATTATGTAGGCTGATGATATGTAGCCTACATATTTGTAAAGCCAATGAAGTAAGGAATCCAAAAAAGTCATAAGTATGATGGTAAAAAGTTATTTTCACCTATGATTATGTAGGCCTATCAATTTGAGAACGTTTTGAATTTTTTGCGCATTTCGAGAAAATGGAGTGTACAGTATTTAGTAGCCTATATAATTTTTTACCAAATTTTTTACACCCAAACCAATATAAACATGTTGTAGTGTATTCATTTACCTTTATAAAAATGTATAACACCTTGGGTAAATCATTATAACCCCTCTGAATGTCAGAATCGTCCTTTTTGGACATGATGCTAACAAAATAGCCTACAGTAGTAGGCCTATTTAGTATAGGCTATAACTTTTTTACAAAATTGTTTACCCCCGAACCATTATAAACATGTTGTAGTGTATTCATTTACCTTTATAAAAATGTATAACACCTTGGGTATATCATTATATAGGTACAACAATCTCTGAATGTCAGAATCGTCATTTTAGGACATGATGCTAACAAAATACAACCTTTTATGAACACTATTCCACACAATTCAGTAATATTTATGCATGAAGATAACTGTTATACACACACACAACACTTCACTTACACTAACACTACGAACTAATAACATATTTAGTAATAAATCGCGGATAAAACTATTACGGCAACAACACAAACAAACAATGGCAATACAAGACAGCTGACAGACTGTGGCAGTAATGACTCACTTCCGTCGTCTACATCACTGTCTACATGCGAGCATACAGAAATAACCCTGAGTGCAGGGCTGCCACTCTCTGAATCTAAATTTCTTCCTCTTCAAAATGATATACTATATGACTAGTAATAATAACTTTCACTGTATATAATTCGTATTTTCCATACTGTCACCAGACGACTGTTGGCCATTTGTTAGAAATTTCGAAAACAGCTGTTTTCATAAAATCGTACCGATTGTGCAATCAATATTTAGTTATAAATATCACTACCACAATGAAGATAAAATCAATGGCTATCCAGTGGTATCACCCGCAACATCCCAAGACGAAAATTACCCGAGCAGGGTAATGCCAAACAAGACGTGTTTTGCCAGTTCCCAAGTGTCGGCTGCAAAAGTCGTACCGCGCCAAAATTTCATTTGATTTCAAATCGTCGTGACATTGTTATATACCTGCTACAGGGTTTGTTTATGTAATCAAATGAAAGTTCAGAATGTGATCTTTCGAATGGTATATATATTATTCTAATCTGAGTTGATTGTAAGTGTTTTTTTTACCGTTAAAAAAATTTCGGCCCATACCGTAACCAGACGACTTTGGCCATTCTAAGCATCAACGTCATACCGTAACCAGACGACGGTTGGCCACTGCTAGGGTTAAGGGTTGAGAAAATTGATTATCCCTGAAAAAGTAACATAAAATTGTGCAACCTAATGGTAATTTTAAATAGAGAATTTGTTTGTTTTTACAATTTCAATTATTTAATTGAGTGTTCTTGTAAATCTCTGATTTTTCCAACCTACAATGGCAAAGATGTATTAAGAAATCCAGCACTACTATTATATATACTACTAGCAGAGTACCCGTCCTTCGTACGGGGTTGGCATGTAAGTATAAAGTGACATTAGCGTATGGTTTGACAGCTCCATTTAAGTAATGTTAAATAATGTTTACATTCAGGATAGTGACATCATTATTTTAAATATGATCCTTACCCTCTCTGTTCTAATATTCATGCAGTATTTAAATGAATGTTTGAACCAGCTGTATGGAATTGTGAAATCAAAATTAATTTGACAGTTAGTACTGCTTGTTTACATTTTTAAACTTTGTAGGTTTGTTCTTTGTTGTCATGGATACCATCAATCAAAATTTACTTTGAAATCTCTCACCTCCGATTTTTGAAAGCCCACGGGGCATAGCCCTAGGACAATATTGAAGCGGGAATAGTTCTATATGTATCCTCGGAACTGTAGCTTCATGTGTGTGCAATTTGAGCCCAATAGGTTCAGTAGTTTTTGAGATTAGCTCATACAAACACACACACACAGACACCACCTCTTCTTTATAATAGTATAGATAATTCAATTTTGTAACCAAACTAGTTTTGCTGTGATCACAGACTTTGTCTGGTTGGAAAAGACGTCACAGTGACACAAGTAACAAAACATCTAATAACCATATACAAATATTGAAATATTTGACTGTCACTTTTACCATTTTAAGGTAAGCCTGCTTCCCAAAAAAAATCCAGGCTCTGGAGTTCTATGTTTTTATTTTTGCTAAGGCTTAGTAAAAGTTTGTGTATGTTGCAGGTTTTGTCTCGTTTGTTCCCATTCAAAAGAGGTCTCAGCCATGCCTATTGGGCACCGAACTTGTGGGCTCTCTACAATATGGCTGACAAATTGCTTACTGTTGTAGGTATGGTTTTACCAAATTCACGTTTTTTTACCAAGGTGTTTTAAGCAATAAAAATTGATTAGGCCTATTTAGTTTCATTTTATGGTTAGCTAGCATTGGACCACACCTGTAATTTAGAACCCTTTCAACCTCTTCGTTTAACTTTTAGTAATTATATTGCCATATACATGCCTGGGCTGAGTTTAAGATTTTTGCATTATTAGATATTTAATAGAAAAATATATTTTATGTAATATTTGGAATATGGTAGTTTTTTTAAACTTTATTTTTCATGCTGAAAGTGTCTAAACAGTTAAAACAGATAATTTTTTCATATCAATAATTATTATGAATAATATGAATAGGTACTTTGTGAATAATATACGGTAAATCTTGAAATTGACAGTTACGAAGTTTGGTGGAATTATTTTTAGGCTAGGTCCATTTAATAAAAACAAGCATAACTTTGTTCGTAAGTATTATTACAGGTAAATAAATACAAAACACTTACATTTTAGTAGTGTAGAAGGATGTGAAACTCCTTCATGCACGGATGAATGCACGGGGGCACACACATGTAGTGTAGGTGTCTTGACTCTTCTTGGGTCTCCTCTTGGCCTTTGGATTTTTTCAGTGGGTGGAATGGGTTCCAAAAATGCTTGGCGTTCAGTTGAAGTCTGGCCAAGCGATGGCCTCCCACCTTTGAGACTATGCTTCATCACATAGTGTTGCAGAATCTCTTTATCTATATACTTATTTAATACGCAAGCAGGTTTTTTGTGACAATTACTCCTCCGAAACTACTGAACCGATTAACACGTTTTTGGTCTCGTTGGAAAGAGCGTAACGTGATGTTGTGCAGGAATCTTTCTATTTAGGGAAATAATTAGAGAGTGAGGCCCTGGGGCCCTTTAAAGTTTCACCCTCTGCTCTTCGAACTGTCAAATTTAACACGTTGAATGCTCAAAAAATAAGTATATACCATCACCGGTGGCTAAAAATATTTTATGTCAAAATCACTTACCAAATGGTGTTGTGAGTCTGGTTCGGGGTCGCCGTCATAAAAAAACGAAGTTTCCGATCGTCCCGTGACGTCATCAATACCGCCGCTTTTTGTCGGCGTGCGCCACCAGGGTGCGACGCTCCGGAGAAATTGCACAATAATCCGGATTTCTTGGCATAGTTTGTCAGTTTATGTATCAACATCACTATTTTTTTCACTTTTTCACAGTTTTCGGTCGTCCTAAGACGTCATCACTTCCGCAGCTTTTTGTCGGCTCCGGAGAAATTGCACAATAATCCTGATTTCTTCGCATAGTTTGTCAGTTTATCTATAAACATCACTATTTTTTCACTTTTTCACTTTTTCATTTTTTTTTTAGTTTTCACAATGTTTTTTTTTATTTTTTTTCACTATTACTAAATATTTACAAATAATTACAGAGTCTCTGTTTTGACTTTACATGGAGTCGTGGTACTTGTCAAAGCACCGAATAGGGCATAAGCCTGGTTCATCAGGACAAGCTGGGCAGAAATACACTACATCCAATCTCTTGCCCTCCTTAGAACACACCCTGCATTGTTTCTTTTTGCGTTTTCCAGCAACGTCAAGCGGTACCTTCGATAGTATGTGGTTCGGTCTCTTCTTGGTGCTGATACTAGCTGGCGATTCGATACTGGCCGGTAGAAGGTATTTGATGACCATGTGCCTGTAATCATACAGCTTCATTTTGTTGTCAATGTACGCAAGGTTATACATTGACCAGGCATTCACCATCATCACTTGCAATACATGCACGTACACCTTCTTGTACCAGCGTATTGTCTTTCTTTCGCAGGGATAGTACGACATCATCTGTCAACTTCCTTCATGTGTCCGTTACACTGTATAACTGGTACCGGCTTCTCCCGTAGTTCACCACGCTTGTTCCTGCTGTTCTCATAGTGTTCTCAAATTCTGTGCTCATGTAAAGAACGTTTCTCTTGTCCTTCCACTTGGCTATGAGAACACCTTCTGCGTATCTCGCTACAGTTTCTCCTTTCTTCAGTCTAACCGAGGTTACCTCCTGAGGTAAGTACTTCCGGTTTTTGCGCAACGTACCAGTCACGTACGTTTGCATGGACAACAATTTGGCAGCTAACGGGAACCCATTGTAAAAATTATCCATGTAAAGGGAATGGCCCTTCTGTAAAAAGGGGGTCATCAGTTGCATGACAACTTTTGATGCGTGTCCTGGCCCACTAGTACTGTCGCCCTTGCCTGCATAGATCTTCATTTTGACAGTCAGGCCATGAGGTTCATTGAGGCAGTAAAACTTGATACCGTACTTGTGACGTTTATTTTTTATGTACTGCCGGAATACAAGTCGTCCCCGCCATAGTACCATTGCCTCATCAATTGTTAGTTCTCAACAGGGGTAGTACAACTTTGCCATTTGATTATTGAAATAGTCAATAACATCTTGAACTTTAGCTAGACGGTTGTCTGACTGATCGTCTCTATTGGTGCTGAAATGTAGGCATCGAAAGATTAGCATAAATCTATCCCTACTCATGTACTTGCAGAAGAAAGATATGTTATACATGTCGTCAGTTCGCCAATAATCTTCCAGACGGCTTAGCTTAATATGGCCAGTGTGAAACAATAAGCCAATGAACACCTTCAATTCAGGCACAGTTAGATCTTTCCATCTGTGAATACGTGACTGTGGCATAGTAGTATTGCCGCAAAAAAATTCAAGGGCATACTTGTTCGTTTCGCGAACAATCATTTCTAAAAACACATCGTCCCGCAACATTGAAAAGAATTCAGATGGTTGATTTGCATTAGGTATAGGCACGCGAAAACCTTCGTTACCAGTGAAAGGGATATGTTGCAAACCTGCAGTTTGGGGGAGCCACGTGGGCTGGTTGGCAGCCGTGATGTCATCCTCGACGTCAAGGTCAACCTCACTTTCCGCGGAACTCTCATCGCCACTTGTTGCTATGTCCTCCTCACTCAAAAGCTGATCTTCATGAGACGCACTAGCCATTATTGTACAACACAAATCACCTAAGGGTTCACAGTAACTCACTATGACGTAATACTAACGATACTAATAAAAAAGTCACGGAATCCGGGAACGGCACTAACTGGGCTAAGGTCGGTACGTACACAGGTGGCTAACGCAATAGCACCCTACTCCGACCACGGCTAAGCTCACACTGACTCAATGTATTTCAGGTGGTCTGACGCCGACTGTTGTCAGCATGCGCCACCTGGGAGCGCTGGCGACGCCGACTAAAATCGGTGCGCGCAGTCAACGTGTTAAGTATTTACAGCTGACTTAAATTAATTGATATATTTTAACATTCTTTCAAAATGTAAACATGGCAAATTTCAAAGCCAATGGGGCGTAGCCCAAGGGAAATATGAAAATTAAATTATATAATATTGCATTGTCATCCATTTGTGAGCTATGTTACAAATTTCAAGTCTCTAGCTCATCGGGAACTTTGTTTAAAATTTATATTAAAATTTGTAGGAAAGCGAGCTAATTTAATAACAAGCCCATGGGGTGTAGCCCAAGGGAAATATGAAAATTAAATGATATAATATTGCATTGTCATCGATTTGTGAGCTATGTTTCATGTGTCAAGTCTCTAGCTCATCGGGAAGTTAGTATAGTTGATTGCAAAATTTGTACCGGACAAGAAAGCGAGCTAATAAAAACGTTTTTATAAAATCAAATCTATTTACAAGTCAAAACTCACAAAAATTATTAAATTCAAAATATATCCTACAAGTTGTCAAAATGAAAAATGAAAATATATTTACAAGACAAAACTGACAAAGATTATGAGAGTCTAAAACCAGATAGGCCTACTACAAATAGGCTAGTCAAAAATAAAAATATCAAATATATTTACATGTCAAAATTGACAAAGATTATGAAATTTAAAACAGATCCTAGTCAAAAAAATGTAGGGTAGCCTATTTACAATTCAGAATTGTCGAAGAGTATGATTGTCTTTCATGCAGGGGCTGATGCAGAGTGGGACATCGGCGCATGGAACGCACATGTAATATGTGTCTGTCCTCTTTGAATGCCTCCTCTTTGTGTAACGACACACATGACATTTCCTCCGGGGCCGTGGGTTGCTAGGGATGGCAGGAATTGGCTCTAGAAAATGTCGCTGAGTCAGGCGCAGCTAGGTGTTTCACCGGGAGAAGGTCGACCGCCAAGGGGTGGGTTCCCGCAGGGCAGTAGATTTCCAATATGCCCCTTATCAATTCTTTTCTGAAATCTGACAGGTGGGAATTCCTTCCAGTCTTCATTTTCTTTAGAATATGGGAATTCCTAATGGCTACGTCGAGAAGATGGAAAAATAGCTTCTTATACCATTTGATGGATTTCCTGCCTGTCACATTGAACGATAACTCTATATCACCTATGTCAACTGCTCCCATATTAGCATTATAGTCTAAAATGCTCTTCGGATTTTTAATTTTCTGTCCGGTTTCCCAGTTAGTTTTGCCACTTTCCGCAATTTCAGACTGGTGCATGGTCGTCAACATCCTGACCTCCCTCTTATCCTGCCATCTCTCATACATCATTTTGTCCGTATGGTGAACATCGACATCATCTACTTGTGGTATCCGCGGTAGCTTTTTGGCCAAGCCCTGCCTGTCTGGCAGCACGGTTCATAACATGTTTACATTGTGCTTAAAAAGCTCCATTGCTAGATACGAACTTACATACCAATTGTCTATTTAAACTTTGTGGCTTAAGCCAAAGAAGGGTTCTAAAAGGGTTAGGACCACTTGTCCCGTGATACCTATGCCCTCTAATCCGGAGAAACCTAGATTTGTCTCTGCTCCAACATATGGCTAAATGTGAAGCACTAAGCTCGTGTCACAGTCCTATAGGACGAATAGTTTGATGCCAAACCTGATTGTCCTTTTTTTTGGGTATATTCTGTCTGAAAGATAGTTTACCTTTAAGTATAAAAACAAAGCCTCTTCAATGGCAAGTTTTTCA